GTGACCTGGCTCAAAGGAGCTGGCCCCAGGCACCAGGGGGACAACCACCCCTGAACATTGTGGGGGGGGGACACCATGCTGGGGCCAGGCTGCCCCCTTTTGTCACCAGCTTCAGTGGAGTCCAGTGTTTCGCTTTGCTTGCTTGTCCCCCAATCCTATCCCTAGCCAGGGCCTCCGAGCCTTACTCTCCCTCCTTCCCGTTATCCCCTCCTCGGACCTGGGGATGCGGACAGTGACCCCTCCCTGAATTTGGACTTGAGTCTTCTGAGCAGAGCTAGGCCTCTCCCCTGGTGAAGAGATGGAGCGAAAGCCCTCAGGAGAACCTTGCTCTCGGGCTGTGGCCCATCAGCAGGGTCACTCACAGGGGCCCTGGGAGGACAGGGAGACACCCCACTGCCTCCTGGCGGGTCATTCTTGTTCAGCCTCCTTATACCTAAGAAACATCCCCCTGTCGCAGCCTCTGGGAAGGCCATGGGACGGGAATCTCTGCCCCTTCACACAGCAAGTTAGAAGGAGGGCCTTTCCCCTCTGACCCCATGACCCCATGCAGAGTTTTGCACCAGCAGGACCCCTTTAAGGGTCTTTGAGGCTCTCCCAGGAGCCCTCCTCTGCCAGCTCCCAACATCCCAGCCCCCTCTTGGGGTCTATGCCAAGCCCACCCAAGGGCCTGGGGCTGTTGGGAGCCAAGGGACCCCAGTATCAATCCCTTCACAATTACTGATCAGGGGGACATCTGCCCCTGGTGATTTGTAAATATTTCTATTGGGCCAAACGCCCCCTCAGAACTGGCTCAAACCTCTGGCCACCCCTCAGCAATGGAGCAGGGGATGTGGGAAAGGCCGAGGGCTTTGCCCAGGGGTGTGTGGGTAACCCTGTACCCATGATCCAATCTGTGACTACCAGACAACCTGAATAAAGCGGTTTAAAAAAAAAACAACCCTCTGGGACAGTGTCATTCTGGGGCATTTGTGTGTGGAAGCAGTGCGGCAGGGGAGGGGGAGGGGGGCGAGGGCTTGGCCAGCCCACACCCATGCCGCACTCTGCAGGCATCATCCTATTCCTCCAAGCAGAGAACAAGAGCTGCTGGGGGCACAGGGAGCGCGCGGAGGGACTCGAGCCTTTATCCAGCCCCAGGCACTTGAACTATTCTTAGATTCTGAGGTAGTCACATGTACATAAGAGTGCCTAAAGCATGTTTACACTGTTTTGTGACTAAATTATAATGCAAATAAGGGTGAGCCACCACTGACCAAACAGCACCCCAGCACAGAACCCCCAAGTCCAGCCATGTGTCTTTCTGATCGTAGCCCCATTCCTCCCTCTCAGAGGTAACCAACACCCTGACTTTTAAGGTCGTCATATTCTTAATGTTCTTTTTACAGTTTTACGCCTATATGTATGGCATCTTAAGCAATGTAGTCTATCTTTTCAGACTTTATATGCATGGAATCTCTATTCTTTTATGCACCACTATATATATATATATATTTGAGAGGGTCATCCATGGTGTCGCATGTGTCTGTAATTTGTCCATTTTCATTGCCGCATCACATTCCATTGCATGGATATCCTTCGACTTACCAACTTATTTATCCATTCTAGTGTTGATAAGAATTTGTGTTCTCATCTGAGTACTATTATCACCCACACTGCCATGAGCAGTCTAGTCCTTGTCTCCTGGTGCACAGGAGCACGCGATCCTCAGGGGGTGGATTTGCCAGGTCCGAGTGAGGCGCTGCACTTTAGGGACCTCATTTTCTCCCTTGAGGTATCACCATCCCCTTATTACTATTGAAGAAGCACTCTCAGAGACGCTAAGCAGCTCGCCCAAGGTCACACAGTTGAATGCTACTCAGCCAGGCCTGGAGCCCTTTCCCAACCCTTCCCATCAGGCCCTGGGCTCTGGACTCGCCTTGGCTCATCCCAGTAGAGGGTCTATCCACCGCGGTCCTGCTGAGAACCTGCTTGGGGGGTGTTCATTTCCGGGCTCTCAGGTCAAGCCCTCGTAGCCAGCGTGGCCAGCTGGCCCCTCCTCTGTGTGCCTGCAGAAACCATAGGCACTACCCACACTGAGCCTGGGCTAACTGCCCGTCTCTGAGCTCCCCTGCCAGCCAGACTGAGCAGACCTCCCTCAAGGCAGGGACTGGGAACTGTTGAAATGATGACGGATGAGTGCTAAATATGTCTCAGGACCTGTGCTGATCACCGCAGCAGTCCTGAAAGGAGGCACGTATCCTGTTTTCAGATGAGGAAACTGAGGTTCAGAGAAGGGAGGATGGAGGAATGGAGGAATGGATGGAGGAGGACACGAATAAACCAGGCTATGATGCAGGTGGGTCTCTAGACCTGTTGCAGAACCCAGGCATCCCAGGGCTGGATGGTCTGTGACCTGTGGCCCTCTCAAGCCAGCAGCCAGCTTTTATTTAACAAATATGTTCCCCAGTATCTCCAAGACAATGTGAAATTATAGAACTCCTAGAGGACATCTTTGCCTTGCTTTTACTTTTAATGCGAATGTTTCCTGTGTTTCCACTGCTGGCTTTCAAATATACTTCTGGAGTGTCCTGTGAATGCTTTAGGATACTCAAGCCTTATTGATGAAGGACCCAAACACTTCACTGTGAATGTCCATCTCAGGTGGGCACCACCCAAGCCAGGTTCCAGGAATATGCCCACCCCACTCCTTAAAAATAAAGAAAACATTCCTGGGATGACGCTCAGCGCCTTACTCTGGTCACCTTCAAGTAGAGCAGCTCTGGAAGCCAACAGGTATGGCATTTAGAGCATGGACTTTGGGATCTGATAGACACGGGTTCAAATTTCAGCTCTGCCACTTATGAGGTATGTGGCGATAGGTCCACCTCCCCTCCCTGAACCTCAATGTTTCCTCACAGAGTTTAAGTGGGGGGACACTGTGAACTCAGCACCTAGCGCATGGAGGCTGTTCTCATTCGCCAGCCTGGGGGAGGGCAGGGCCTGGGACTCTGCATTGCTAATAAGTTTCTCTGCCTGAGAAAGTGTGTGAGCTGTTGGGATATCACGTGTGCACAGCGAGTTGCCTGAAAAGATACCCACCAAGTTGAGAGCTGTGGTCACTTCTAAGAAGCGGGATAGAAGGAATACCCCAGTAGGCTGAACAGAAAGGGCAAGCAGTATATCTGTCGCTTGATACACATATAAATATTTCAAGAAAACCAACACAAGTAAATAAAATGGGGGGAAATGAGACAGAATGTCAAGGCTAGTAGGAATCCTGGTATGAGCACCGTGTGGTGTCTGCGTCCCCTTGACACAACCTTTTCCTCCTTCTGAAGGAAGCCCTCGCTGACTACATGGAGCAGACCCTGGAGCCACACCCACCCCACGCTCCTCCCACCTTCTTCCCACTAACACTTTTTTTTTTGCTTGATGTAGTCCCGATTTAGTTTAACTACCACACTCCTTTGAAAAGGTCATTTGTCTCAGAAAAAACAAACAAACTGTGCCCACTCCCAGCCCCAGTTGTGCAAATCTTGATTAATCTAAGCTAGGGGATCTTACCGGGAAGTCTACACATCACCCCGACCAAGGATCGACGGATGAAACGCATGGGATTCGAAAACTGGCATGGGGGAAAAAAAAAACACTAGTTCTTTGTTTTCACTAACCTCCAACTGAAAATTAGCATTTCCTTCTATTACGAATGTAAGCAACAAACCACAGTAGCATTCGTAGTAACTGGTGATTTGGCACCAATAGAAAGCACAAATATTTTCCCCTCACAAAACAGTTATTACCGGTATTCTAGAACATTGTTTACACTCATCACTACTTCAAAATTATGGTTGTTATTAGATCGGCCGCTAGATTTTGTTATTTAATGCACTAATAACGAAGCAAGTGTATTCCTATATCACGCTTGAAAAAAACATATTGTGAAAACCATATTTCAAGATAATTGGTTTGTTTTGTAATCTTCTCATTTTATTTTATATAGTTAAAAACAGTATTCTGGGAAGGGGGTCACAGGGTTTGCCAGACTGCCAAACGGGCCCATGGCGCAGAAGCGGTGGATGAACCCCGGGGCTAAGCCAATGCTAGCAATTTCATTATCCTAACTGGGGACTAGTTGAGGAAGTGTCATGTGACCTGTGGTGTCCAATTCACAATGAGATGCCCGGGGACATCTGCTGGGGAGAGACTGGAATCCCTCCTGGAAAAGGCTTCTTAAAAGGAGACCAGGAAGATATGCTTTCTTCCTCTGCTTTTTAGCATCTGAGCACGAGAGACCTGGGAATGTCTCCCACCATTGGACAGCCATAAGGAGAGCAGCTGACCCAACTGAGATGCCGAAATGACTCATGGGAAAAGCCTGGGTGTTTGAGAAGGTGGTTGACCTGGTGAATTAGCCAAACGGAAACGTTCTACCAATCCTGTTATCAAACGATAGACCCCTTATGATTCAGGCCAGTTGGATCAGTTGTCTTTTACTTGCAGTGAAGAGCATCATCTCCTGATCCGCTCTGCAAGCTTTGTTTCCCCATGTTTTCCATGCTTCGTCCTGTCACTGAGGTGAC